AGAGCAGGGTTTAGGGCTGTTGTACATAGGGTTGCTATGAGTCGCAAGTGACTTGACGGCACATAACAATAACAACAAGTATACACTCATCCTGCAGACAGGTTGCATAAAAGTAAGGAATATAGGAGTGTGTCCAGTCAATCCTCTGCCCTCAATAGGCACCTTACAACTTAGATTTGATAGACAGATGGCTAAGTAAAAGAGGAAGCAGTTAGTCTTCCTGATGTTGTTCTATAGGAGAACTATTTTTCTTTCTTGGAAAGTCAGAGACTTGAAGAGATTTTCATATCTTTTCATGCATGTGGGAGTCCTTCAGTGTTTGTTGAAGCTAGATCTATTTTGCACCATTGTGGTAAACTGACAACTGTATTGCCAATATGGGGTTTTACAATCTGTTTTTCTCTGTTCTCAGTTACAATTTTGCTTTGTTAAAGGTATAATGTCCTTGACTCTTACCCATAAAACTGCAGACATTAAAATTGGGAAAATATCGTTTTATAAATTTTCAAGTTTATAATTGATATTTTCCATGCCATTAATAAATATCTCATTTGTAAAAAAAAACCCACCAAAAAAACCCCCACCAAATTAGTCACTTAAATCTCTTCAGATTTTGAAAATTCTATGATCTGTTCTAGAAGATTTGATGACTTCTGCTTACTTGTGATTAACAATGTTGTACAATAAAAGAGTATTTCCTTTCAATGTTGCATTACAGTGAGAACTTTTGGATACGTTTGAAATAAGGCTGATTTTGCCATCATGTTGATTCTGACTCGTAATAACCCTATAGGACAGAAGAGGACTCCTCCAGAGGGCTTCCTAGGCTGCACATTACGGGAACACATGACCAGATCGTTTTTCCCTTAAAGCAGCTGGCAGGTTCAAACTGTTGACCTTTACAGTTCTAGCCAAGCACCTAATCATTGTGCTACCAAATAAAATCAAACCTTCACTGAGTTGATTACAACTCATAGCACCTAACAACAACTTGGAATGTAGAATTCCACATGCAGGAGCAGTCAATATCACTTAACACTGACTGGAAACTTACTCGGTATTAAATATTATACCAGGCATACTGCATATGTTATTCCATTAAATCCCCACAACTACCCTGAGAAATGTGTTCTGTGGCTATTCTATCTTTACAGTGAGGCAAGAGAGGGGCAAAATACCTTGTTCAAGGTCATATCACTACAGATGACATTTGGATCCTATCACTGTCGTCATGTGCCATTGACATAGAAGCAACTCGTAGCTGAGCCTCCAATGAGTTTTCAGAGGCTGTAAATCACACAGGAAGAGAATGCTCATCTTTCTCACAAGGAGCAGTTGGTGAATCAGAACCACCTGTTTTTCGATTGGCAGAGCAACTCCTTAACCATTAGGCCACCAGAGTGCCTACTGTTGTTGTTGTTGGGCACTGTCAAGTCAAAACCAACCCACAGCGGACCCTCCAAGGGGTTTGCAGAGGCAGTAAATTATGTGGCAGATATCTCGAATTTTTCTCTTGCAGAACACTTGTGTATGTGGTTTGAACCACATACCTTTGCATTGGCAGCACAATTCCTTACCACTGAGCCACCAGAGCTCCTTAGAGCTCCTACAAAGCAGTACCAAATACTGTTACTTTTACTATAATAGACTACATCTCTTGGACTAAAAGAAAAAAATGTTCCTAGTAGAAGGGAAATCTGAACTGTTTCAGTATTGAAGATGTCAGGGGAGAATAGAGTAGAGGGGACTATGAGAGGGAAGGCCTGAAGGTAACATACACCAGCAATCACAGGACAGCTAAAGCATTGGGAAGACGTCAAGCTGACAGTACAAAAGAAGAGATGTGAGTTGGCGGGTTTGGAGCCCAGCGGTCATGAAACTTGGGTTATAGTCCTGACTTGGCCACTGATAAAGTAACCTTCAGTAGTTCTTCTTCCCTCTCTGAACTTCAGTTTCTCCATCAATAAAATGTTATTGTTGTTGTTCATTGCTTTCAAGTCAAGTATGACTCATAGCAACCCTATGAACAAAAGGCCTGAAGCCCCTCTACAACTATTGACATTGAGTTCATTGAGTTTCTGGAGGCATGGTATTTAGGAAGTGGACGCCACTCCTGCTTCCAAACCTGTCAAAGTATGTTATTGTTTTATGTGCCATTGAGTCACCTGTGATGCATAGGGTTCTGAACCCTTCTCTGTCCTGAGCCACTCTCTTTAACTCTGATATACCAATCCCCATGGTCCCAGTTACTGTATCAATCCTTCACATCTAGGGTTTCCCTCTTCTGCACTGTCCGTCCACCCTTCTGAGCATGATGCCCTCTCCAAGGACTGCTCTCTCCTGGCCACCTGTCTAAAGTAAGTGAGGCAGAGCATCAAAATCCTAGCCTCCAAGGACCTTGGAATTACAGTATAGCCTCAAGCAAAAATCTTTTTTTCTGAACTTGGCACATGGTATCTGAACTCACATCTTCCTGAGCAAGAGATGGACAACATTGTGACAAACCAGTAGCAGTGTGTAGTGCAAAGCATCACAGAAGTGATTGGTGATCATATGGAGAGGTGGCTGGGGAAGGGAGGGTTTGACTGGGTAGCCGATTGTGCAAAGAATAGGGAAGTAGCAGGGAAAAGAGTAGAGACAAGTCAATAAAATAAGAGACAGAATATATGTTTTCAAGAGACCCATTCTAGTTCAAATGCTTGATGCTATTCATGAAAGGTCAGGCAGGAGAGTGATTAAGGCTTGGTGATAATCAGACCTCAGCTTTGCCAGTGACCAAATGAGTGGCCTCGTTATGTTGTTGTATGCCTTCAAATCAGAAAGAAACTGAATCATAGCTGACAATCTAATGGGTTTTCAGAGGCTATACACTGCATGGGAGTTAACTGTCTATCTTCCTCCCATGAAGCAGCTGGTGGATTCAAACCATGTGCCTTTGGCTTGGCAGTGCAGCCCCTTAACATGAGGCCAGAGAACTCGCAAGTGCCCTTAGGCAAGTTGACTAGCTCAACAGGGTCTCAGCTTCTTCATCTGTAATACGGAGACCACACAATGCCTGCTTTACAGGGCTGCGCTGTTGTTGTTGTTGTTGTTCTTGTGTACTGTCAGAAGGAGATTATCCATTTTTCCTCCACAGAGCAACTGGTGGATTTGAGCTGTATACCTTTGGGTTTGCAGCACAGCTTCTTACCACTAAGCAACAGGACTATGGGAAAAGCTAAGTGAATCAAAGACCACAGGTGTTGGTAAACTGTAAGTGTTTAGTAAACAGAGGCAACTTTGTCATCACGCTCATCATCATCATCGTTATTTTTTAAGGAGTTAAGAAAAAAATAATGGATTGCCATGGTCAAGAGGTACTGCTTCTAGTTCAAGGGACAAGAAACAAACTGCAGAAGCAAATAAGGAAAGGTCTCACGCGTCCCTCCCACTCCCCCCTCACAGGCTCCTACTTCAGCCCAGAGGGTCAGCCATACCTTCTCTTCTGAAGAAACGGTCAGCTTATCACTGGATATCAAGCTGCACACTTGGTCCAGACTTAGGCTAAGAAATTCTTCCCCCAGCATCACCTCTGGAAAGTGCTGCTCTGTTCCAAAAAAAGCAGAAGTTAAGAAAACAAAGTTATAACACTCCTGTCCTTCCACGAGCTAAAGCCACGATAATCTGTGGGGTCCAGAGGAGACCTTGCAAGAGACAGTGAGATGAGGAGGAGAGAGAGAGGGAGTGGGAGTCCCAGCCCGAGGGAAGCAAGCGGTGACAGCCTCACCCTTGTGTGAGCCCACAGTCTTGAATATAGACATGGAAGAATTTGGAGCAGGGAGAACCAGGCCTATGAATTTTTTCCCATGGTCCATGAGACTAATAATGGCGTTGAAGAAGAGCCTCCCTGGGCCCTGTCTACTTAATGGAACTCATTTCTCCTCCAGGTGTGAGCCTCTAGGCTGTTGATGGTGTGCCCTGCAGCACGGCTGGACCAAAGTGGGTCAGGACTGCTGTGTAGCTACTAGTCTCTAGGAGTTTTGGTAGGAAGTCAACATTGGAAGGTTAGAAGACAGAACTATCCTCTTTTCTTTTCTTTTTTTCCCCTAATTCAAGGCTATTAAGGTGAGTAGTGGTCCCCAAGGAGGCCCCAAGGAGCATCTACACAAGTGGTCTCACCACCACTGGGGGCACAGTTGCCAGGCTGCAAACACCGTGAGATGGAGAACCTGGAATCAGCCAGGAAAATACTAGAGAGTCCCTGAATACAAATAGTTCACATGCTCAGATGCTCATCAGAAGAGGGAAAGTTCAAGCCCAGCCAGAAGTGCCTTAGAGGAAAGGCCTGGCAATCTACTTCCAAAAAACGCTCAGTCATTGAAAACCTTCTGAAGCACAGTACTGACGCACGAGATGACTATGAATCAAAACTGAATCAACAGCAGCTGGTTTTTCAGAAGACGAGTAAGCCCACCTCAGGCCACTGATGACTGTACGTCTGAAGTCAACATAAAGGAAATGCCATGCCCAGTTCCTCCCTGGCACTTGTTTGGGACATGTCAGGGTAAGTGCAGACATCCAAGACAAAATGGGCCTAATAACATGGTCCCCAAAGACAACACTTTGTGTCAGTGAGCAGCAATTAGGGTCTGAAAAGCTTGTGGACAGGTATCTACGGTGGAACTACTGGTCTCTCTCTGTCGAGAAAAGAAAAGAAAAGATGTACAATTAGTCCAAAGGCTTAATGAACCACGCAGGCTTCAACTTCTGAGACTCTGAGACCAGAAGAATTAAATGATGTCACAGCTGTCCATTTTAAAAGAAATCACAGGAGAAGATCTTAGATAGTGTTGGGAGAAATGTGGAACAAAACTCAAAACCATAAAAAGGCCAGGCTTTGGGGTTGGGTAAACCTAAGAAAAGAGACAATAAATAATGTATTCTGCATTAAAACAGATGCGGGGGAGAACTGTTTTAAAGGAATATATGAGTAGGTATTATTTTCATGATAAGAGTCCAGAAAAAGAAATGCATAGTAAAGTGGACTGTGGACTGGAGGGGTGGGGAGGGTGGGGGTTTGCATAACAATGAAAGAATTTTTTTCCCTTTCTTTTCAAAGAGAAAAGTGAACTGGGGGGAGGGGTGGACAGGGAGGAAAATGTGCAACAATGAATGAATGAGAGAAAAAAAAGTGGGAAGAATATGCTGTTTAAAAAAAAGGTCAGGCTTACTGGTTCAATAGAAGCTGATAGAACGCTTGATACCAAGGTCTTCTCCCCCTTCAAACCTAAAATAAAACTTGCACCTGATGCTGAACTTTCAGCCAAACAACAGACAAAATTGTGAGGTGAACAGCGCCAGGGACACACTCACATCTTAGAATAACCAACCATATTAGGTCAAAAGGGCAGCATATGCCCAAGAGTAAAGCGTTGAAGGCACGAAAGGTGGAAAGAAGGATTGAGAGAAATGAGAATTACAGGGAGGAAGTGGGAAAAGTGTGACTACATTGTCGCAGTATATATACACAGTAAATAAAACAAAATGTGTATGAACAGTTGAATGAAAAACCAATTTGCTTTGTAAACTTTCACTAGAATCACAACAAATAAATTTTAAAAAGAGGAGGCCTAAGATTTAAATCTTGACTCAGCCATTTCCAAGTTGCATCACTGAGCCAACAGCATCACATCCTAAGATCTCACTGTCTTCTATAAAATAACACTACCAAGGGAGCTCTGGTGGTGTAGTGGCAAGAAGCTGTGCGGTTCTGAAGGTGTGCAGTTCGAATCCACCCGATGCTCAACTGGAGAAGGAGGGTCAATCTCCTCCTGTGCCAGTTGGACCCAACTCGACAGTACACAACAAAGAAAAAGAAAAAAAAACTATTTAAAAAAATAATAATACCAGCCTTGTCCCTCTCCCATGCTTTGAAGAGAAAGGCTCTTTGAAAGAGTTCTGCAAACTGCTCTTTGGTGAGCCAACCCAAGGGCCCACAATTCCCGGAGCTGCGAACTCTGAAAACCACAGGCCCCTCCTTCATCTGCCCCACAACTCACTTATTTTCAGTTCTCTCACAGCCCTCCCTCATTACTCCACGGAGCATTGGCTCTTGCCCACCAGGTCTTCCCCTTCCCCAGCCCCCTCTCTGGCCTGGTACTCTCTGGACCATTTTAAGGGGTCATACCTCCACTTCACACTGAAGGTCACTTAGCCCTGAAAGGCCTCCTACCCCACCCTGGCAGCTGCTGAAACCTCTGATCTGCCAGGGCTACATGACAAAAAGGAAGATCAGGTCATAGTAAGCCTCTCTCTCTCACTCATCTACTTCTTAAAAACCAAACAAACAAAACCAAGAACTTAAGATCGAAAAAATTTCTTACAAAACTATTTTACTTTTTATTTTTAAATAATTTCAGACTCAAAAGAGAGCTGCAAAGAAGTACAAAGAATTCCCATATGCCTGCCCTTTCTTCATCAAGATCCCCAGATGTTAATGTTTTACTCTCAAAGATCTTATTGTAAACAATCTTGTCCATCTTTCACTGGACAAAAAGCTGCCACTTGCTCTCCGCCATCGTGAGATGTCACTGTGGTCACCCATAGGACTTTCCCATCAACGCAGACTTTAATGGAAGTTAGACCAACTACACCAGGAATATTTGTACATCAAAGGATATATTTAAGCATCAAATCCTAGATAAAAGGAAGCAATTATCTTGAACTCAGAACAAAAAACTGGTCTTTGCTCCCCATATGTCAACAGAATAAATAAATTAATTAATTAATAAATACATACATACCAAACCCAACATAAAACTTTTCTTAAAGCTGGATGGATTTAAGTTAGGCATTCAGATGGACTTCCAAACTCGAAGACTTTTCGAGATTAAACAGTATTATTTTTAAAGTTTTCATTCCCAATGATTTTTAAATAAAGAACAAAAGAACAATCCTCTTTAGATGGTAGAAAAACATTCTTGGGAATTTAACTCAGTTATCTATCCCACTCTGGTCTGGTCCAGTCCTTGATCCAGAATCCTCTGTTTGACAATATCCAAGAAACTGGACAAGAAAAAGAGTCACCACGTTGCAACAAAGCACGGGGCACTGAGGCTGCCTGGACCAGTAAGGGTGCACTCAGCAGCCCCTGTTCTGTTCTCAAGCAGAAAGTAAGGCAGACACAGGATCAAAATCCCTGTGTTCCGGAAGCTCGTCAAGCCTTTCCACATTTTTCTGCTATTGTTGTTGACCAAGGAACTGACATTTGGAGAAAGGCAAAAAATTGAAGTGGGGAAAAAAGGTGAGGAAATAAAATTCTGTGAAAGGAGCTCACACAGTTCATATAGCCAGATTTTCAGATTCTGAAAAGTAAAATAAAAAGAGGGGGAACAGATAGAATCAATCTTGAAGGAATAATACGTAGGGAAAGGAGAATTAAAAATTAGGTCAACTGAGTGAAGGAAAAGAAATACACAAAAAGGGGCTGAATAGACACTGCTATTAATGGCATTAAAAAATGGCAATTAATGTTATAATAAGTCTATTTATTTTTTATTATTTGTGTGTGTGTGTGTGTGTGTGTGTGTGTGCGCGCGCGCTATCAAATCAGATATGACTGGTACATGAGGAGATTGTCCCTCCTGCTCCAGTAGAGCATCTGGTGGATTTGAACCGCACGCTTCTGGGATGGCAGTGCAGCTTTTTGCAACTAAGCCACCAGAGCTCCCCAGAAAGTCTATGAATTATTGCATGAAAAACCAACACGATTTTCAAATGTTCATTAAAAAATGAATTAATTAATTCTTTTTATTAATAAATAAATATTTTTAAAGTCATTAAATTCCTCTTAAAAAATGAAAGAAGAGTGATGGCTTGGTGATCAGACAAGAAATCCTCAGAGAGAAATTAAGACAGAGAGGAGACAGCCTCTCACACCCTTTCACACACCATCACTCACTCTCAGAGGCTTTCTAAATTTGAATCTGAGTCCCATTTCTCAAATGAGCTGTTGTTTTGCCTGTTTGCCTATTCAGGCCCTTCCATACAGAAATCCTCCCAGGAAACAGTTTCCAGTGAGGAAGGAACAACAAGGGAGCCCATGGGCAGCAGCTGTCACCCAGAGGGACTCTGGAGAATTAGGCAGGAGCAGGAAGGAAGGAAGAAAGGGACACAAGGAATGAAAGGGGAAAGTGTCTTCACTTGTCCCTCTCGTATAAGGAGAGGCTGAGGAGACAAGGCTGAGCCCCCTGAGTCTCTGGAGTTCCCAAGTTCCTGTTCCCTTTCTGTTGGCAACACTCAAGAAACAGCAGGATAGAAAAAACAGGAACAGGATGCTCTGGCTAACTTGACTTCCTGGAAAACAGGAGTTCCGCCAGAAGCCTTTGTACTCAAGTTAGCCCTCTTCACAGCTGTTTCCTGGAAAGAAACCAGTCTGCCCCCAGAAGACAGATCCCTGACCACTATCTTCTACTTTCAATGACTGTTTGGATGGTTTTGCTTGCTTCAGATCTTGAGTAGTGTTGGTGATGATGGTGGTGGTTTGCTTTACTGTTTAAAAAATATACTAAGGAAAAATGCAGCTTTATTCACCATCACAAGAACATG